GGCTGTTCGGAAAAAAATGTCCGATTTTAGAATAAAACTTTTAATTGTGTTCTAATCTCTATCTATAAAAGGCAAGATGTGTGCGTGTGTGTGTAACGAATGCACGGCCGCAATTTTCGACGGATTTGCACCAAAATTTACATGCACATGCTCCAAGTTAGCGGGAAGGCCAACACCGACTTTGCATTTCCCAGCTCCCATCGATAGTGGAAATAATCGATTTTTTCATGCTTCTACGGCAGTTTTCATGTAGTTTGCGGCCATTTTGACCTGGCCAGAGTGAGAGCCAATAGCTGGCCGCCACGAATAGGCAGGAAGATTCCATTGGCCAGCGTGAGTGCCAACAACTGACTGACACGAATGTTAACTAGTATGCTAGCAGGCAAAAAAAAATCGATAGCTGCATTCGTCACAAGTGGGAAAAATTTAAAACTGCATGGCACTTTACTCCAATTGGCTCATTCGCTTGCTTAAACTCAACGTTGATTCTGATTCCGCAGAACTGGGTTGGGTGTGAAAAAAGTATTTGTTGTTAACATTCTTTTCTCGTTCGGTTTTTCCAGTTGCTAGTTCTTTTTTAAAGCTGATCGTTTTGTGTTCATTTTGTTTAGTTCTTTTTTCGTAACAGATTTAATGTTTAGTATAGTGCTTAGAAAAAATTCGCAGTATGAGATAGGCAAGAAGTAAGGCGTGTAGCAACATCAGCACGGCAAAGGGCGCTCCTTTAAAGGCAAGGAAGGGCAAAAATATTTTAAATCAAGTGATAGCGATTGCTGTATAAGTCGTACGATTTTTGAATCAAGCACGAGCAACGCCGGGCCATGCTGCTAGTAAGGATATATAAAGTGCTGAGAATTAATAGAAATACCTCTCGATATTGTAGTTTTGTTTTGATATAGCCGCAACTCTCTTTAATTATGTAAAGAAAATGAACATGTCATGTTTGTAAATGTCATTTTTGTCCTTATTGCTCTTTTCTTGTAATAAATAATTTCTTTTAAGATTTTAATAGAAGCAGATAGGTTCACCTATTATCTGGTTAGCACGCCTTCCATATTTATTGTTCAGAAGTATTTCTTTTGTTTCCTGTTTAGGTGATGGTTTACCCATTCTTTCTTCTTCCATGGCCCGAATGAGTTAACTACCTTAGCATTTTGCTTTGTGGCATTTCATTATTATAGTTTAGTATAGAGCTAAGAAAAAATTCGCAGTATGAGATAGGCAAGAAGTAAGGCATGTAGCAACATCAGCATGGCAAAGGGCACGAATAGGCAGGAAGATTCTATTGGCCAGCGTGAGTGCCAACAACTGACTGACACGAATGTTAACTAGTATGCTAGCAGGCAAAAAAAAAAAAAATCGATACCTTTAAAGGCAAGGAAGGTCAAAAATATTTGAAGTCAAATGATGGCGATTGCTATATGAGTCGTACGATTTTTGAATCAAGCACGGGCAACGCCGGGCCATGCTGCTAGTATTTTATAATTGTTGCACAAAATATATATTACTCATTCGTAATGATTAAGGTGTCCTCAAATATGTGACGCACTTTGTGTATACACTGAAAAATGATATTAGGCTGTTCGGAAGATAATGTCCGATTTTAGAATGAACTTATTCTAAGGTTATTCTAAAATAAGGTTAAAAGGTTATAAAGTAATTTTTTAAAAAGCAGTGTTATGGGAAAAACCGTCCTTTTGACACAACGTCTTATTGCGTGCACGTTTATCAACTTTTGCCAGATATTCTATGTGTTTATCGATATCTATTATTATTATTATTATTATTATTATTATTATTATTATTATTATTTCCTTTAATTTCTGTTCTATACATATTTTCCTCCGGATCCCAACCAGAGACCTAAGGTCAGAAATGCCTTCATGACATTTTCCACATCATTATTGCAAAAAAAAAAAATTAAAAAAATCACGCAAATTTTACATAGATAAAAATCTTCGTAATGCATGAATTGTATTTGTTACTGAAATTTTTTTGTATTTCTTTAAGGCATGGGCTACCGGCAACAAAGAAAATATATAAATTCACTTTCATAGGTTTAGGTTTTATTACAAGTCTAATCATCGGCTTTTAAAACAATAAACATTGCCTAAGAGTGAAGGTAATTAAAAAGAAAATGGTGTCATGAGAAAAAAACCGTCCTTTTGACACTACGTCTTATTACGGGCACGTTTATCCATGTTTGCCGTTCTATCGATCTTAAGTTAAAACATTATATACCCGTCATCTTAAACATGAAGCAAAAATAGATGTGTTTACGTTCTGAATGTGTTCAGACTTGGTCATAATGCTTTACAAACTGCTGCCAACGTCAATGGGGGTGAAAAATCCACATGCGATCGGATATAAACGGTGCTGGTTTCTGAAGTACCGCAGTCGAGACACGAGTCTTGAGAGATCACGGTGGTCGAGGACGTCCATCTGCCATTGACAATCAACATCTTAATACAACTAGTAGAACAAAACCCAAATGAAAGTGTTAGAGAAATGTCTCAGATAATGGGTTCAGTATTTCAACAGTATAGGAAAAATCTGAAGAACATTTGCAAGGTGAAGAATCTTGGTAAATTGGTTCCACAGGAACTCTGTGAAAGTCAAAGAGTTCGACGTTTTGAAGGGTGTTCGATGTTGCATCTGCGAAATTAAGTGGCAGAAATTTATAGGTATTCAGGTGGCAAAAAGAAATGTGTAGATATTCAGAATTTAGTATTTTGACTGATTTAAATATCGTTTAAATACATTCATTTAGGAATAAATGTTGATTCTAAAATCGGACACTATTTTCCGAAAAACCTGATAACATTCGTGTGTAGGCTTATTTGCGTGAGTTTTCAATGAATTCCGAATTATGGTAATTTTTGAATGCTATATTCACAAGCTTCTTGTATTTCTAGATCGGAATGTTATCCCAAAATAGAAGGGAATTTTCGCATTTCTTTAAAGAAAGCCTTGTTTAATCATATGAATATAAATTTTGAATACATTGATTCTGTGAATGTAGGTATAAACGCAAACCAACCGGTTTCGTAGATCATTACAGATGCTTAGATACCTATTCGCACGCCGACTTAGAAAGAATGTGACACAAAGCCGAGGTTTATATGGAATTCCCACATCGACATGAGACGAAGAACAAACACTACTCAAACTGATTTTTTCTTTTTTGGAGACGCCTTAAGTGTCAGGATTGAACAATAGTCCCCTTTGAAGTATAGGTACTACTTGGGGAAATTATGCTATATTTTGATATAGGTGAGTAACTGGCTAGGCCAGGTGAGCATAACATTAGTAAATCACTAGGGTTGAGCGAGTGATTTCAATCCGCATGGAATGAATATATTTGCGGCCGAGAGGAAAAACTAACTACGTTTAATAAATAACTATAAGGTGAAACAAGCGGATAACAGATCTGAATGGTTGAACCAGCGGATGAAGAGGGCTACGCACGACGGACAGGCTACAGAAGGTGCCGCTCGAAATTACAGTCGGTGTCATTTCGTTGCAGTTTCATAAATGCATTGTGCATATCTCATTCCATATGTGCCGGCTCACTTCCTGGCAAGTTGAAGTCCACCTTAAACAAATTCACGCCATCGGAACGTTCTACTAATCTGATTTTTTCACTTCTAAACAACTCTTGGAAAGCCAAACGACGATAGGTAATTAGATGACGGGAGCAGGTTTTGGTGAAACTGGGAGATTCTAGTTCTGAGTCTGCCGGTTGGTGGCGAATTTAGTCATCAATTTAGTCATCATAAAAGAAGCGATCAGCAAAGAATAATTTAAATTTTTGGATACAAGATAAAGTCGACGACGATGGCGATGATACGAAGGGAATAGTGTTCTCTGACTCTATGGTCTGTAATTGTAGTGTTCAGCGAAAATGCGCCCAAACGACTTTACATGTTACGTATTCTTCTTCTTTGTTCTGGGATCCTTCATGACGCAGGCGATCATAGCTCTTCACAAATATATACTCCTTGTGCCTCTTAGCAGTTCTTTCCATTTTCTTTCTCGTCAGGTAAGTGCCGTGCTTCCTTCCTTTATTTCTTTTGGCATCAATACGCCATCTGAGGTTCTCCAAGCCTGACGATGAAGGAGTGATGTAAAAGCTGTGAAATCTTGAATGAATTAATTTCAACTCTTCTTATATAACTGAATTGTCTCATTGCAGGTAAACTGACATCTGACTGTTCAAAGAAGACTGTTCATCAAAAAAAAAAGTCATCCACAGCAGATACGACGTCAGCATCACTGTGATATTTGTTCCTAGTTTTTTTTTCATAGCGGGAAACAGATGGTAGCCAAATGAGGAGAATAGGGACGGTGCTCAACTAGTACAAAGCCACAATCACGCACAGCAGCCATTGAAAACAAAGATTTCTGTCCTGATGGAGCGAGACACCTTTCGTCAGTTTTCCTGGCCGTTTGGTCTTGATAGCCTTTCGCAATTGCCTTAGCAAGTTAGCATAGTACTCTCCATTGATGGTGTGGCCCTTCCTTGCAGAAACATGTGAGGAGTGTTGATTTCGATGCATAGACTGTATCTTTGTCTCTGGCCCAAAGTGTTCAACCAAGAACTCATCCTGGGTTAGGAATCGTTGAAAGTAATCAGCTGGATCTGTCTCAAACAATTTCAGACTTTTCTGTGATGTGATCAGCCTGATGCGCCTTTCATCAGACGTGGCACCCACAGAGTAGAAACCTTCGTCATGTCAAGTTCATGGTGAAGAATATTCTCAACTCTTTTACGGGATGTGCCAATCGTTTCTTAGTTTTGCTCGTTATTATCAATACAGAACTGATGTTTTCTTTTTATATAATAACAGAAATAAAGAATACGGAAATTTCTCATTTACTCGTTAATTTTATAAAACGATTTATGTCTGATATTTTTATTATCTTTTGCTGTTCTTTTTTTTTAATTTCGCTTAGGCAAACCTTTATTAAGATGGCCGACCGGAAGTTACTCTCTGTTAATGGCGGGCAAAAGGTGTCCTGGGACCGATTGGTTACCGGTTAATAGGTATCACTGTATCTTCGGTTTTGTCGACAGCTCAAAGGGACCACATCTGGGCAGCAAACCTCAAGTCTCCAGCTTACGCGAAACAATATGTACAAAGGGGAAAAAACGAGGAAGGAAGTGGAGAAGGAGGCGAAGGCGGAGAAGAAACTGGGAGTCTGGATCCTATTGTATTTTGAAAAACGGAAACTGTCCCCCAGGTATAACATTTACTTTCTTAATGGTTACATGCGATTTTGCAGAAACGACCTGATATTTAAAAAAAAAAAACAATAAATAAGTATCCGAGTTTCGATTGTGTTTTTATGCACTCGTTGCATAAATGAAATAATCAGTGGGGTACAGTAATAATCCGAAAACGGCAAGCATGTCTTTTCTTCCTCTCTATCACTTTACGGCTTACGTTTAAACACCGGTTTCTAAACGATCACCGAAGTTAAGCAACGTCAAGCCTGGTCAGTATATGGATTGGTGACCGCTTGGGAATACCGGGTGCTGTAAGCTTGTGTGCGATGTAATCGATAATGGAACTTTTAATCAAAGAGCTGAGTTCCAATTCCAGTCGGATTCGTTATATTCTCTTACGAGTAAATATCGCAGGTAAAGGTATGAATCTGTCTCTTCTCCCCATCTATGGGTTAATTAGTAAGTTTGGTACCACTAAATTATTATAATCTCCCTCTCCACAAAATTCTTACAATCTAAAAAAAAATTCTCTGACATTGAATTAATGTTGATAAGCCGTAGAAAACGCATCAATCAATCATATGACTTCTTCTTTTCCTTCGCCAGCTTTTCTTTTTGTTTTTCTTTAGCTTTCTTACTTATCATTTCCTTACTTCTTAAATTCTTTTCTTGTATCGTATGCGATGCACACCAGGAAATACGAGATGCATGAATCAAACTTAATGTCCGTAAGGAACTTTGATCTAAGAAGAGTTGATATGTGGTGACCCCAATATATATTAGTCACTTTAAGAGATATCAAAATAAGATTTGTAACCGTATCACCACATACGAAGCTGCTCACTTCACCGTTTTCATTGCTAACATTGCTTTCCTTTTTTCTCTCTATAGAGAAGTTCCCTCGACTGGAACATCACCCTCTAGGTTTTACCAGACAAACTCAATATCATGCAAAAAAAGGTGGCAGATATGCAAATGACCTAGCTATCACTGCAGGCATCATTAACTATACCACCGTTCTCCTACAGCATCTAGAAAATACTGCCAACGATGTTGGATTCTCTGCCAATGCCTCTAAAACTGGATTCATAGGCTTCAACCAACAAGGCACAATACAAACGGTCTTAAATGAAACAATGAAATCTGTCATTTTTTATATACATACGAAGTGAGATAAATTCTACAGAAAATGATATGAAAATTCGCATAGCGAAACCTGGGCCATCTTGAATAAAATGGATGCAATCTGGAAATCTGATCTACCAGACAACCTCAAGCGGATATTCTTTCGAGTCACCGTAGAGCTGGTGGTAATATATGGTGCCACTGTCTTGACATTAGGTAAATCTTTACAGACTAATTTTGATGGAACCTACACTCGGGTACTGGGAGCTATATTTAACATCTCTTGGAAACAACATCCAACATCCAACTAAATCACTGCTCTATGTAGCTATCCATGATATTTCTAAAATCTTACCAGAACCCAGAATGCGCTTTGCATGACACTGCTGGCGAGAAAATCAAGACCTCGCGAGTGATCTACTGTTCTGGCCATCTAGTCATGGAGCAAGATGAGTTGGTCGCCCAGCAACAACCTACATTGTCCAGATATGTCAGGACACTGAATGCCCCCCACCTTAGTGACCTGACCGTGATGGTTGGTGTGATAGGCTCATCAATATCTGAGGTAACTCGATCGAAAAAATGATTATTTTATACAAAATAGATGAATCTTTGATTTTTTTCTTCTGTGTGAAATATTTACTTTATTACAAATAAAAAGGTTTTCTTAAACTGTTGTATATAAGAACATTGGACATGGTTACGTATAATATTAATAAGGCAAACTTTAGATTCATTTATTGTAACTAACAAATTATCTAAATTCGAATTTTTAATGAAGCTCCATTCATTGTCGAAGACATTATTATAAAATCCTTCATGGCAGAATATAACGAAGGTTGAGAAAACTTTTAAAACATCATATTTTTTCCAGTACTGCTCCTCCAGACATAAGGATCAAAGGCACACTGTATTGTATTTTTGAAGATCATCAAACAGAATACAAGGATAGTATAGCTAGCCACTCGTATTCGAAGATACCCGTTTACTAGGACGGCTAGCTAATCCCTATTGCAGACGCTTCCTCAGGCGCATTTGTGTTTATTCAACACCCACAGAGCCCAAATGTGTTTTATACTGCAACTATGCCGAGCAGACCTTTGTTACAGTTTCTGGAAGTGAGCGTGTTATCTAGCGTGATCAACAATTTGAACAAGGCCAACACGCTCAAGCAGAGCTATCGATGGCCCTAAGGGATCCGTTTACCCAATTTCAACCGTGGTATGCTTTTCAGGCACTTTCCAAAGGTGCTGCACGATGGGATCGACACCTCCAGTCCTATAACATCAGGAAGTTTCCTGAATCGACCATGGTGAGATTCGAAACCGGGTCTCATGGACAGAATACGAACGTTCTAACCACTCGGCCAATAATTCCAGTTGTGGTTGAGGCCCTCGCTTTCATTTGAAAAGTTTCTGATAACATCTTTGTATGAATTCCTGGTTCCTGGTAGCGATTGCCTTAAAGAAATTGTTCTCATCAGTACACCTCCCACAATACGAAGGACTTTATATATGTAAAATTTGTGTGCTCTTAGTTTTTTTTTTTTTTTTTTTTTTACAAAAATGTTCATTGTAAAATAGCATGATGTCACTTCAACAACAACAACAACAACAAGAAAGTAGCGGCATATGTGCCAGGGCACCTCGAGGCGGTGTAATGGTTAGCAAGCTTGTCTCGCTACCACTGGTTAGTGAGTTCGATCCTAACTGGGTGCCCAACTACTTTCGGCCTTGTGCAGCGTTTAAGCTACGCTTGGAATATCCCAATGTGCAAGAGAAGATATGCAAGAAGCACAAAATCGAAACCACTGAGAGATGGTATGAGCACCAACTAAACATTCTGGCACCCAGAATAACGATGTAACTATCCTCTGGGACATGCCAGTTCAAACTGACGGGAAATAAAAGCTAACAGATCTGATATTATCATAAAAGACAAGGAATTCAAGAAGTGTATGCTTATTGACATAGCAGTATCATCTGAGAGAAAAATTACTGAGAATCTGTTTAAATTAAAGGACAAATAGATCGAGATTAACAGAATGTGGGGAATGAAGACTGAGACTGTACCAATTGTAATCGGGACTCTGGGCATCGTGAGAAAAGGAGTGGACAATTTTACTGTGTCCCAGGTAACATCAACATACGAGTTACCCAGAAGATCGCCCTACTAGGAACATTCCATATACTAAGAAAAATTCTATCAATTAAATGACAACTCTCCTATAGTTCCTAGGAACCACAGTTTGGACTGGACACAACAGGATACAAAGCAGGAAACATAACATATACAAATAAAAACTACCAGGCATTAGTATGAAAAATCATTCACATTCTGCTTAGATTTCTATGCAGTGCCCACAATATATATATATATATATATATATATATATATATATATATATTCTCTCTGTATCGTACATCATCTGTTTGCATCTTCCGAAACAAAGGACATGTCTCTTGAAGTCAATGCTTGAAACTTTAGTGCAACTCATCCTCCACAAAGCAAACGCAAAACATAATAACGATAATCCTATTATAATTGTACTTGTCCAGTCCATAATTATTTCGCACGACCGTCACGGCCTGCCAATACCTCATAAATAATGGACTATTCCGTTTTGATTGCATGGAAAAACAAAACATGGAAAAACACTACTTGGTTTGAGTGAGAAAAAGAAAGAAAGAAAGAAAGAAAGAAAAAAGAAAGAAAGAAAGAAGGGAAGACACAAGTGTTCAACGGCAGTTTCAGTGAAATGGAAATGGTTATCAATTTCAAATCTTTTGGTTTTTACCCCCTTACTTCTTAAAATAACAACCAGCATTCATATTTATGATTGGTATTGCAATATTGTTAAAGTTTTTAAGCTCAAATATTTAACGATGTAACAGGTGAATTTCTACTGATATTTTACTATCGTAGAACTCGCCATGATCTTATTCAATCATTAACTAAAGAATTAGGTTTCTTCAGAAATTTAAAATAGGAAAACCGTGAAATTTCCACGGGTTTTCTAGTGACGATAATTTACCTTGTTATAAAGGAGAAAAAAATAAACTTGAATTGATTAAAATTAATAGTTTTTTTTTTAATTTAAGGTTTTGAAAGTGGTTTTATTCAAATCAAGGAGTACAATTCAAGCATCATGACATCGACAATACGGAAAACCATGGCCAAACATTGCGCAGATTTTAGCATCAGAAACGACTACTGTTGTCGTCAAGACGATTCTGCGTTGAAACCAATCACACTCCCCACCGCTTCTCCTTTCATTCTGCTCATGTCAAACCTTTACGAATCTTGCCAACAGGTCAGAGGTACGTACCTATTTACCAAATTCAAAACATGTTTAAAGAATGTTTAAAACTAATTATTCGTGAAGGCCAGCTATAATATTCAGACTTAAAGGTATCTTCAGTGTCATGTTTATTATTTACAAGACCATATCCCGGACAGTTAGAGAGTTCGAATCACACGTGGTGGCCATATATCGCCCTTCTTTCTGAATGAGTTGAACTTATAAATACTCAACCTCGATATTGAACAATATAATAACAGTGAATTTGATTCTCATTGAGTGTTCTACACTTGGTGTTTTATATTAGATCATACGTGTGTGCGTGAATGTATGACTGTAAAAATATGCATACAAATTCAAACGACAATAAATAGAAATTTAATTATAAACCTAACTGCCTATAATTAACTCTTTAATACTTAAGATACAACCAAATCAAATAAGAAAACCGAAATAATGGGCAAGTGAAGACACACACACACACACACACATATATATATATATATATATATATTGTGTGATAGATAAATTGTCATCTAAATTACGCAAAAATGAAAATAACACTACCATCTCATTTTAACAGATATATTTGCTGAAATTGCACAAAACTATCTTGACATATTAAAGAGTAAATTTATTCAACAAAATCGTTATTGGCTTCAACTCTTCTTGACGGTGTCCTTGTTTAAGTTGTTGAATGATGCCATAATCCTTGCCTTCAGTTTATCTTTGGTGTTACAAGCAGTTTTCTTGCTCTCTCAGTCAACTACACCCCATGCATAATAATCAAGGGGTTTGCAGTATGGGGAGTTAGGTGGCCAGATATAAGGGCTGATGTGGTCGCAGAAATTGTCTGACATTCATGACTGGATTCTCCTGCTTCTGCGGTAACGTTGCAAAGTCATGTTCCCAGACATCGTGCCTTCCAGCAGACACTAAATAAAAGATGTCGAATAATGATGAAAAGTTCTAAATAAAAGATGTAAAAATATGTCGAAAATCCTAAATAAAAGATGTAAAACGTGTTACAATTTTTGGATACATTATGTACTAGTGAGTTAGCCAAAATGACTTGACTCACTTTATAGTCCACCCATAAAAGGTTAACCAATCAGAAGACGCAGAATATTCAATCCGTCGTGTATAAAGGCGGCAATTTTGTTTACTCTATCCGAATGTCCAGTGCCAGCTTGTCAGGCGAAGAGGAAGAGAAGGAATAACTACGCTCTGCTATTGGGATATCCACTGCTAACCTGAACTACGCTTCCCTACTGTCTTCGAAATATTCACTGCTAACCTCTGGATTCTATACTCAAAGACGACCGTCATCATGAACAACGAAAACGATCCCAGAAAACCTAAATATAAGATGTCGAATAATTATGAATAGTTCTAAAGAAAAGATGTAAAATGATTCCGAAAGTTCTAAATTAAAGATGTCGAATAATGATGAAAATATTAAATAAAAGATGTAAAAAGTTGCCGAAAGTCCTAAATAAAAGATGTCGAATAATAATGAAAAGTAGTAAATAAAAGATGTAAAACTATCCCGAAAAACCTAAATAAATTATTTTGAATTTCCAAATTCGAAGTAGAAGTGTCCATTTTTTGCCATTTTCCTTAAAACTGCCTCGTTGTTTACGTGTTTTGTCTTTGGCATTCTCAGCATCCTTCGGTAGGACATGTCGGTTGCGTCAAGTCTTCTCGTCATCAGTGAGAAAAGTGTCCAAGATTACTTGCTATAAAAGGGGAATTGATATTATATAGCAGTTTTTTGTTTCTAACAAAATCTTCCTGTTTCATAATATTCTGTTTAGTATTTTGGGAGGTATCTATCGCTATTTCACGCCTTCGGAGTTTGGTATCACATTTTGCGTCATCTGATCTTTTGTGCCGTGTAGTATGTGGTTAATAATGGTTCTCCGCAAATTTGTAACTTTACTTTGCAAGTCTAAGTAATGTTTGCCTCCCTTCCATTCCCTATTCTACTAACCATATACTCAAGATCGTAAGGTAGATTACTCATAGGATTTCCTCTGCCCTTCTTGTTTCCTTATGTCCTGTCACTGCCAAATTCTCCAAGCCCTCCTTCCTATTATGTGTCGAAGAAATTCCATCTGTTTCTTTCTGATGCTAAGTACAAGTGTCCTTTTTGTTCCCTTCATCTTTAATTGAGGACATTTCCTCATTATTCGACATCTTTTATTGAGGACTTTTCTTCATTATTCGACATCTGTTATTGAGGACTTTTCTTCATTATTCGACATCTTTTATTGAGGACTTTTCCTCATTATTCGACATCTTTTATTGAGGACTTTTGGAATTATTTTACATCTTTTATTTAGTAATTTTCCTCGTTATTTGACATCTTTTATTTCGGACTTTCGACTTGTTTTTACATCTTTTGTTTAGTATTTTTCATCATTACTTGATATTTCTAAATTAGGCCATTCGGGATATTTATACATTTTTATTTAGTACTTTTCATCATCATTCGCCATCTGTTATTTAAGACGTTCGGCATGTTTTTACAACATTTATTTAGGAGTTTATTGCGAAATTTCGGCATCATTTTTACATATTTTATTAAAATTTTTTTTATCATTATTCAACATTTTTATTTAGGTCTTTTGGAATTGTTTTAAATTTTTTATTTAGTACTTTATAATTATTCGACTTCTTTTAATTAGGACTTTCGGCATCATTTTATATCTTGTATTTAGGACTAGCTTGTTTAAATGGATGACAGGACAATTTATACGAGCGAACAAATATTGCTTAGTACTGCAAAAATAGAATGATGCGGATATCCATGATTTTCCACGTCCTGAAGCAACACGGCGGAGAAGAAGAAGGGGGAAATAAATGATGTAGAAAATTCAAAAAAGTCTTGATTAAAAGATGTAGGAAAATGCTGAAAATGCTAAATAAAAAATGTCTAAATATGCTGAAAATACTAAATAAAAGATGTCAAAAATACTGAAAGTACTAAATAAAAGATGTAGAAATGATAAAAATACTAAATAAAAGATGTAGAAAAATGCTGAAAATACTAAATAAAAGATGTAGAAATGTTAAAAATACGAAATAAAAGATGTAGAAAAATGCTGAAAAGAAGATGATTGGAATAAAAGATGTAGAAAAGGCTGAAAAGTCCGAAATAAAAGATGTAGAAAATGGTAAATAAAAAAATGTAGCGATTACTGAAAATACTCAATAAAAATGTAGAAAAATGCTGAAAATACTAAATAAAAGATGTAGAAAATGCTGAAAATACTAAATAAAAGATGTAGAAAAATGCTGAAAAGTCCTAAATAAAAAAGAAATGTCGAAAAATGTCGAAAAGTACAAAATAAAAATGTAGAAAAGTGCTAACAATTATTAAATGAGAGTAAAATCCTAAACAAAATATGCAGAAAAAACAAAATGGATCTGATGCATTTAAACTTAATATTTTTTCTTCATTTTTTTTTAAAAGACATGCGGGCATATACTGAAGAAATAAAGTACATTAATCAAAATGGATACAGAATAATAACAGGAGGGGATTATCCATTCTTTTACACTTGGGAATATGGTTTATCCTTGAAATACTGTTACTACGTTCCATTGAACCAAGGTAAGAAATAAATTCCATTTTATAAATATATGGCGGAAATAATGTCTGTCGCAGTTTTTTGTGTATATATACTATAACTAGTGAGTTAGTTCAAATGCCTTTGACTCACTTTATAGTCTACCAATGAAGGCTAACCAATTTAGAAGCCGCAGAACATTCTCTTTCCTTTATTCGTCATATAAAGATATGCGGCCATTTTGTTTCTCTATGATGAGCTGAATGACCAGTGCCAACTTGTCCAGCGAAGATGACAGAAGGAAGTACTACACGCTCTGCTACTTTGCTGCGATATCCACTCTCTGCTTTGTTTAACCTGAACTACGCTTTCCTACTGTCTCCCGAAATATTCACTGCTAACCAAATTGGATTCTATCCTCTGAAGACGACCGTCAAAATGTCTAACAATGTCGTCAACTTATTTGAAAAAAAAAAAAAAAAACAAAACAATACCCCCTCTTCAGAGATACAAAAATATGATTTATTAAAAATTATATTATAAAATGAAAATATTGTATACCTGTTTTTATCTTGCATATTTGAAACTTATTACTGCAAAATAACCAGGGATGGGTGATAATACACATTTAATTATTGGGCGAACAAACATCTTCTTTTGTAGACTTTATTCATCATATTTCTTTTGGAAGGTATGATATACAAACCCTTATCTATCAATCTATCTCTATGATGAGCTGTGATACAGAGAAACAGGCCCGTATCCATATATTTGCGAATGATATTATAACGCTCTCGAAAATATTTATATTATATATATATATATATACACTGTTGAGAGAGGGCATCTTCTTTTTGTAGACTTTACAGCTATATATCATATATATATTTATTCGCTCTTCATATATATATATATATATAGACCTCACAATACATGGCTCACTGGCGTTTGTTTACATCCGTAAAAACAGTACGCATAAAGCTGGAATTCCTCTTCCTAAAGGCGAAGCACCGACGACGTTAAACGTAGGGAACGTTAAAAGTTTCCGACTTTTACCAAATTGATCGGGTTTTTTTCCACTAAAATCAAAGCATTCGATATGTCTTCTGTCTTTCCTGATGAACCAACGATCCATTTTTATAGGTCTGTAATGCACATAGAATGACATTATATATATATATATATATATATATATATATATATATATATATATATATATATTTATATTTTCCCCGTGGAAAAAAGTTGATTTGGAACGTTTTTTTTTTCGTCATCGGACTACATTTATTATGTTGGTTTGACTACACATGCACACAAACAAGGGATGCTGGGAATTTTTTTTTTTAAAAAAAATCTAGTCGATTTCATTTTGGCTCTTTTTTTTCTTTTACTTTTCATCACTTTTGTTAGTAGATATATAATAATGTGATAATAGCTTTACCATGAATGGTGAAATGTTGTAAGAGACCCGGTGCAAATTTACTGTAAATCAAGGCACCCTCGACTCATTTTCGCCGTCGTAAATTGTTTTCTCCTTTGATCAGAGGTGATTTTTTTTTATGTCAAAATTGTGGTCAGTCTCGTTACGGTGGGCAAAGGATGAATAAAAAGAAAAAGAATCTCAATGAAATCAGACAGATGAAAAAAAAAAATTAAATTCCCAGCATCTCTCGTTCGTGTGCATGTATAGTCGTACCAACATAAAAAAAATTGTCTGATGAAGTACTAAAGGACGAAACGCGACACAAGACAATTTTTTCGACTTTGTCATATATCCTTCCAGTACTGTTCTCTGATATATAAAACTATAATATATTGTTTTATCATATATATATATATATATATATATATATATATATATATATATATATATTCAATTTTATTGGGAAAATATAATTTATATATTCATGAATTGCATTCATACAAAAAACGCAAATATAGAGGTTAATGATTTAAATGGCAAAATATTTTTCGCCAACAATATCAATAAGATTTGTCCAACCCCGAAACCTGTATACCAATGATAAAGATCCTGTTTATAAATTCAATAAACAGTTGCATAAGGTCTTTTTAATTTTTTATCAGCCTTCGTCTGTTCCTCGTCAGACATCATCAGTATGGAAGATGGAACCTTTTGTTCTTGTTTTTAACTTCTCAGTAATAAGAGGACAACGAAAATTGAGATGCAATCCGAAAAAATGCTATGAGAAATGTGTTATTGTTTTGGAACAATAATTTTTTTAATACGAAAATGTATTGAAAGTGCAGTAATTTCAGAGTCTTCCACAGTAAATTTACATCTATGATCATATAGCATGTCTCTTTTTAACAATTGTTATTACAATGTGGGATATTTAAGGCTAAATAGCATTAAAGAATAAAAACTGATTGAAAGTGCACTAATTTCAGAGTCTTCCACAAGACGGACTATGACGAAAAAAACCTTTGTGGCACGACATAATGACCCAACTTTCCTTGCAGTAGATACAGCTATTGATTCCATGTAGTCATTCCACTTCAAGTCAATTTGAAAACATGATACCAAGAAAGAGCAGTGTTAGTCTGAAGAATTCCTTTCAAGGGTCGAAACACCTAATATGGCATTTTTTTTTTTGTTAAATTCAGTTACCAAGGTGTATTTTGTGATAATGGTTAAAGACCTTCTCTAGTCGGCCATAACAACTGTTTAGTGAGATTGATTCTTACTGAGTGTCATGTGCTTTTTAGGCTTGTATCAAGTTAAGCTTGTAAGAATTAAGACTCAGTTCGATCCCTGCTTGGTTAACTCATACATGCGATCTTCCGTTACACCATGTTGAATAAAAATCTGTATAACGCATCCAACAATCAATCTAATGTATACACAGGGCACGAAGAAAAACTGTAAACTATAATAAAAGACGACAAATCCAGTAAGAAATTAAGAGGAAACAACTCTATGACCTTTCTCATGAACAGTCATGAGAATACACAATTTAAAGATATTAAAAGAAATAAAGTCGTGGATGGCCATGATTGCTGGCGTCCTGAAAGTACATGCTTTTGTTTTAGTTCTATCTCGGTGCTTCGGGATTTTAGCCCTGTGCCAGACTTGTGTAAGCTTATTTACTCTGATGTATCTGAGCTTCACACAGTCGCATCTGTGAGCGGAACCGCATTGAAATTAAGTGCTGCGAACGATTTAAAAAAATAATGCATTTATAAACTATTTCTTTTTCTTTTTTTTGCAGACTGTGGAGAACTTGTCAAATTACATCGGAAGAAAAGGTCAGCAATTTTGACCTCACCGAATTTCCCAAACAACTATGAGAATAACCTCTCCTGTAATTGGTTAATCAAGGTAAGGTCATTTCTTTCGTCTTCTATTATTATTATTATTATTATTTTTTTCTCACACTTCTAAGTCTGCGGAAAGACCTAAGGCAGGTCGTGGTTGTTGTTATTGCCATATTTCATGTTAATTTTTTTTTTTTTTTTTTTTTATTATCTCCGATGAAGTTTGCTAGCGTTACATAGACAAAGTTCTCCTTAGTGTGTGTGCTGTACTTAATAAGACAATTTTCTGTATGTCTTTAAGCTTCTTTCTTTCAATGTGTTGTTTTGTTCCATTTTTTTATAATTCCAAGTTTATTATTATTATTATTATTATTATTATTATTTTATTATTATCTTCTTCTTTTTCTATTATTATTATTATTATTATTATTATTTTTAACAAGATGTCTTTGCTGTTTTCCTTCTTTCTATAATTGCCTCACACATCATTACTGTTTTTTTGAGTCCAATTCTCACTGGGTGCCCCAAATTTGTGACCTTAGATCGAAACTCAGTTAAGACTATTAAATACCTATAACGAGTGTTACACTTACATTGTGGCTGAGATTGTTGCATTTTTCCCAACCTTGTCTGTACAAGGGGATGAAACTAGGCAAAATGTCATATTTCTGCTGTTGATTTTTAAAACGAGCGGCCCCTTTTTCATTTGTTTTAACCAATTCACCCCAAGCAAAGCGATAATTCTACTAAAACGCAAGGTGCTTACTGTGAGTTAAAGAGAATGAAAAGAAAACCCAATCCTAAACAGGAAACAAGAAATAAACCTTTATTCGCATTCAAAAAAGCCGAGGAGGAGTGGGAAACGGACGACCTTCTAATCTGCAGCCACATAACATTGATACCATAATATTCGAAAGACGAAATTACTATCAATGTTTTGCGAGATGGGCTTCTTCTTTTATTTATCGCATCTAGGTCAAGACGTGGGCGATCAAAACTCTCTAAAAGGTTGTGTCTTTTGTGGCGTTAAGTAACTTTGAACGTTTTACTTTCATTTTTTGTCCTTGTTCTGTCACCTATTCAGTCAAATTCGTTTAGTATATTACCTGCTGCCCCCCTCCACATTAAGTGTTTCGGAAATTTCAAATTCTCTTTCTGATTATATAAGTGCTCTTTTAATTTCTATTTTCTATATCCTTAAAATTTCATCCTTGCGGACATGTTCAGTCCAAAGAGTTCTCGATGTCCGTCGGTAGAACCACGCTTCTGTCGATTTAAGCCTCTTTTTCGTCTGAGAAGAGATTGTCCAGCATTCACTGGCGTTGAAGTTATTGTGCAAATAGTAAAATAAACTGATTTACTTGAAAACTTCTCACGGGGGAATAAGCCGGATTAAGGTATTGTTACTGAGTTATTGATTGATATGTTTGTTTAAAGGCACATCGACTCCTAATGGGTCATTTAATGCCGACATTTTATTGAGGGCTGTTGAAGTAATAATATTATATATATTCTTCTTCTTTCACAATTGAATACATGGTAGATGATTGCTTGGTTGGATTTGTTTAGCGTTATATAAACCTCTATGGGTTATTTAATACTGAAAAGTAAATATTTTGAACACAATTTTATGGCTTTAACTACAGATAAAAAGTATTGCTGGTCATTTTGTTTTAAAAATTTAATGTTGGTAATTTTACTATAAATATGTATTGTTGGTAATTTTTTTATACAAATGTTTTCCTCTGTATTTTTTTCTTTCATAGTGTGTTATTTTTTTCTTTCATAGTGTGTTATTTTTTCTTTCATAATGTGTTATTTTTTCTTTCATAACGTGTTATTTTTATTCTTTCATAGTGTGTTATTTTTTCTTTCATAGGGTGTTATTTTTTCTTTCATAATGTGTTATTTTTATTCTTTCATAGTGTGTTATTTTTTTCTTTCATAATGTGTTATTTTTTTTTTCATAATGTTATTTTTTCTCTCATAGTTTGTTATTTTTATTCTTTCATAGTGTGTTATTTTTTCTTTCATAATGTGTTATTTTTATTCTTTCATAGTGTGTTATTTTTTCTTTCATAGGGTGTTATTTTTTCTTTCATAATGTGTTATTTTTATTCTTTCATAGTGTGTTATTTTTTTTTTTCATAATGTGTTATTTTTTCTTTCATAATGTGTTATTTTTTTCTCTCATAGTGTGTTATTTTTATTCTTTCATAGTGTGTTATTTTTTCTTTCATAATGTGTTATTTTTATTCTTTCATAGTGTGTTATTTTTTCTTTCATAGGGTGTTATTTTTATTCTTTCATAGTGTGTTATTTTTTCTTTCATAGGGTGTTATTTTTTTTCTTTCATAATGTGTTATTTTTATTCTTTCATAGTGTGTTATTTTTTTCTTTCATAGGGTGTTATTTTTTCTTTCATAATGTGTTATTTTTATTTTTCATAGTTCTTT